GATATTTTGACCCCTGAACCTTTACCAAATGAGATTATTTATTATCGGGGTTGGGGGAAAATTTGAAATGTAGGCAGCATTCAAAGCAAAGGTAAGTATGTCGTGGGTGAAGATAAAGAAAAAGAATTTGTGAAAAACGGAAAATGGTATTGAAAAGTGAAAAAGAATGAAGAAGTAAAGGAGAAACTGGCTAAATTTTTATTGATGGTAGGAAGAGGGCAAGAATCAGCCGCAGACAAACCGCACCAAATGTCTACAACCGGGAACACACAACCTAAAAAAGTTGCAGACAAATCAGCCATAACTCAAATTATTCAAGCCGAGATATTAAGTAAACAAAAAATACCTAAATTAGCCGATTTCGTTAAAATATGATACAAGAATTTAAGTGTTAAACAACAGCCTGGTGTTGGTTATTTCTTGCTAAATACTTACCAGTGTCCTGAGGCTTTGTCTGTTCTTGATGACGGTAGCGTGAGAAGTGTGCGGCTGGTTAGCGGGAGGAAACATGACTTTTTTGGTCGGATTTCGCGAGCTAGTTTCTTAACTAACTTTCACGCGACAAGAACACCATTGCCCTCAATTTAGATTAAAAAAAAGTAGCAAAAAAAATCCAAGAAAAACAACCCTCCAACAGCTCTATTTAGCCGCTTTTTCCAATAAAAAACCACCTAAATAGACCTATTGTTCTTTTGCTTACCAAGCAACGAACAATATAAAAACATAAATAAAAGCATATGAAGCATAAGCCATGACTAAACACAAAATCCAAACCATTAAAAACGACATTGCTTCTACCTGAAAGGAGGGTAGATTTAGGCGAAGTTGCTGACCTTTTAACAATTCCCTCTTAAACCAAGCAAAAAACATTCGTGCTTGCTCTCAAAGAACAAATCCAAAACCTGGAAACCATTCTCCAACAACAAAATCTTTCTCCGGAAGTCCGGCAAATTTGCCAAAGAGAAATTGAGAGGTTAAAGAGGGAGTTAATTGCCATAAATAGGGCTAAATAAGTAAAAGTGCTTTTTTTTTGCTACTTTTTTTATGCTTGATAGTAAAAGTATAGGAAGCAAAATAATCCTTATAAAAACATAAGGGAAAGTATAAGTAAAAGCACCATTAAAACAAATAAACACATGCGAGAGATAATCGTGTGATGATTAAAGTTGTCTAACAGTTAAAGTAAAAATAAAAGTATACGGTTGATTAGATTGTCAATTGACTTCTAGCTTGGGTTAGTTGGTTTCAAGTTCAGGAAAGGTTCTCGGAATCAACTAAAAGGCTAGACGTGAATTAATAATCCTATGAACCTTTCCGTTCAAGTATCAGTTAATCCAACTGGATACTTCCATTTAAAAAAATCAAAACACAGCCAACACAGGGAGGATTATTTTCGCAATTACTACCAAAAGCACCGAGAAACATTATTAACCAAAAGAAAAGCCCGCTATCTCGCTCAAAGAAGCCTGCTTTGAAGCGATTATTTTACTTGCAAAAAACCTTGATGTAATGCTTGTATTCAAGCCGGAATTAAAGGAAACGAATATAAGTTCTGCGGAGAAGACTGTTCGGTTCAAAATTGGCTCTCAATTTATTCCAAAATTTATGGCAAAAAAGAAAAAGAGAGAGACCAAAAAGAGAGAGAAAAAGTAAATAAAAAGAGAAGAAAAGGTGTTGAACAATTTTTTCCTCACACACGCAATGATAGTCTAAACTCCCCGCACGCACCAGTCGATAGACTTCTTGCGCGTGTTAAGAACTTTTTTTGTTTTGTTCAACACCACGAGGGGCAAAACAAATCAGAAAGACAAAAAAGAAAAGACCAACCATGAAGAAGGTTAGCCACCAAAAACAAAATAGCCCAGGTGGCGGGGTATAATTTGCCAAGTTATAAAGAAAAGAGGAGCATTGCGGAGTTGTTGAAAAAGCACGGAGAGTTTGCTTACTTGACGGGTAAACCTTTGGGGAGATATTACCTGTCTACTTTGGATTTGGATTTACGGAAGGTGGAGTTTCCGGAGGAGTTGGTTGAATGTTTGGAAAAAAATGTCGGTTGTTTGCTTGATTTTTTGCGGGTGAGTTATGATAAAACTAAAAAAGGTTTGCATGTGGATATTTTGACCCCTGAACCTTTACCAAATGAGATTATTTATTATCGGGGTTGGGGGAAAATTTGAAATGTAGGCAG